ATGAACATAAAATAAACTTCTAAAAAAATTCCTATTTACAGACAGCATGATCTGATACTTAAAAGAGCCTATGAGTCCACCAGAATCACCAGGATTCTTCAATCTAATAAATAGTTTCAGCAAATTAGCAAGACACAAAATCAACATACAGACATCAGTAGCCTTTCTACATATCAAAAAATAAAGCATGTGTCACACAAAGAATATATGAGAGATGCTCAGCCCTAAGTGACACATGTACAGTGGAACCTCTACGCCTAAGTGACACATGTACAGTGGAACATAGCAGAACAGGGAGCAGGGAGAATACTAATACATCCGTCAACTCTCACCAGCAAAGCGTCTCCATATAACAGAGTGAGATACACTAAGTTTAAGAGAATAAGAAACTGAAGAGTATGTGTCCCTGAATAGGACTCCTGTAATTAATCCTCACCCACCCATGGCTCAGAGACCATTTTGGAAGAGGGAATGGAAAGACTGTAAGAGCCAGGGTTGGTACATGAACATAAGAAAACAGAGGCTTTCAGGCCACTGGGAACTTGCTCATATGAATTTGTAGCAATGGTGACAGCATACATAAGACCCATACCAGCTCAATCAGACAAAAACCCAGCATAGAACTGGGGATATGGGCAGCATGCCCCAACCCTAGCCGAAGAACTATTAGCAACTGATTACTGCTGGGTGAGGAAGAGCAGATCTTCTTTAAGGGAATGACTCTAGATGGCTGACTAGACTCCAGTGGATGGATGAACTTGCACTGAGGGACATCTGGATACAAATGCTTGGCTGGATAGGACTTAGCATATATGACAGAATGCATGAAATCTGGTGTGGATGGGGGAGGAGGTCTAAATTTGATTAAGATTCATTATATGAAATGCACAAAAACTCAATATAAATATTTTTTATAATAAAATAAAATAAAAAATAAAGTATGCAGGAATAAATCTAGCCAAAAGGTAAAGGAGCTCTACAATGGAAACTTTAAGACACTAAAGGAAGAAATGAAAGAAGACACCAGAAAATGCAAAGACCTCCTATGCTCATGGACTGGCAAAAATCAGTATATTAATAATCAATTATATAAAAATGGCTTTGTTGGGGCTAGAGAGATGGTTCCAAGGTTAAGAGCACTTGCTGCTGTTACAGAGGACTAGAATTCAGTTCCCAGGACCCACATCAGGCAGCTCACACAACTACCTATAACTCCAGCTCCCAGGGATCCAATGCCCTCTTCTGGCCACCACAGGTACCTGCCGGCACATGCACCTATACATCTACAGACACACACATAAACGCATAAATTTTCTAAATGGCTATATTATTTAAAGTCATCTACAGATTCAATGTAATCCCCATCAAAATGCCAATAACATTCTTCACAGAACTAGAAACAAAAGCCCTAAAATTCACAGAAGCACAAAAAACACAAATAGACAAAGAAGTCAGAAGCAGAAAGCGCAATGCTAGAGGCATCACAATAATCTAATCTCAAACTATACTACAGAACCATGGTAACCAAAACAGTATGGTACTCACACAAAAGCAATATGTCTACAAAGCATGCCTGTGGGGATTTTCTTGATTAGGTTCAGATGGGAAGACCTACCCTAAATGTATGTGGGGGGGCACACCAAATCAGTGGGCTGAATCCTGGATTGAATAAAAACAAAAAAGGGAACTGAACAACATTCATTCACTGCTCTCTTCTTCCTGATACAATGTGCTGCTTCAAGATCCTACAGCCTTGACTTCTACTGTGAGACAAAAAACAAAAAAGAGATCCTTCCTTAAGTTCCTGTGTTGGGTTGTTAGCAAACATCAAGCATGCAGGGACTTAAAATGTGCCTCCATGGTTGGGCTTGTTATCTCATACTGCTCCGTTACCATAAGAACATTATCAGCCAGTTATCAAAGGATGCTCGACATATGGACCAAGCATAGAGCATAAAACCACCCAGGTGATGACAGCCTATGTCAACTCTGAGGTGGCTCACAGATGCAAACAAAATAAGTGTTTACTACTGTAGATGTGGTTGTTAATAGGATTAGCCAAGTAATATAATACACTAAGGACTCAGTGCTCCAAGCCGCTTAAAGTATGTCCTTAATCTAGTGCTATCCACATACTCTTTTTTAACATTTAAAAATCATTATCATGAAGCCAGGCATGGTGGTGCACACCTTTAATCCCAGCACTCAGGAGGCACTGGCAGACAGATTTCTGTGAGTTCAAGGCCAGCCTGGTTTACATAGTGAGTTTCAGGCCCTGTCTCAAAAAGACCAAAAAAAAAAAAAAAAAATTATTGTGTAAGCATGTTGGGGAAGGGAGCGGGGAGGCAAGCACCATCTTTATGTAGATTCTAGGAGTCAAACTCAGGGCACTAAGCTTGCTTTATCCACTGAGACATCTCACCAACCCTTCCACAAACTCTTAAAAGAATTTGCTAAAAAAAAAAAAAAGCAACTAGCCAAGTCTCATGCTAGGTCCAGAGGATAGAGATTAATAACACATTGTCTTTTCCCATGAAGAACTACCATTGTAGTGAGAAACAGAAACTCTAACAAAATGGTCATAAATCAGTATGATATGGAGTTCACTAGTATTACAGGGCTAGGTTCTAACAGTTGTGAGGTATCAGAGAGAGTCTCACAAAAGAATGAAGTTGTAAAAGATGAAAAATCACTCATAAATAAAAAGATTGAAACTTTTAAGTAGCGCTGGGTAAGGTCATACACACACACACACACACACACACACACACACACACACACACTCCTCTACGCTTGGGAGGCTAAGGCAGGAAGATCTTGACTTTGAAGCCAAGCTGGACTACAACAGCAAGACTTGTTTCCAGGTTCCTGCCCTAAGTTCCTGCCTGACGTCCCATAAAGATGTACTGTCACTCAGAAGTATAAGACACAATAAACACTTTCTTCTCCAAGTTGTTTTTGGTCAGGGTGTTTCATCACAGCAACAGAAAGCAAACTAGGGCACCCTACTTCGGGTTTACTCTCTCTACTTCCTACTTGCTGTTGAAGACATGAGCTCTCAAATGCTTCAGCTGCCATGCCTGCTGCTGTGCCTCTGTGCCATGATGGACTCTCAAGTCTCAGGGACCATAAGCCCAAATAAACTTTTCCTTTTAAAAATTGCTTTAGTCATGGTGTTTTATGACAATAACAGAAAAGTAACAAATACAGTGTGTGTGTGTGTGTGTGTGTGTGTGTGTGTGTGTGTGTGTATAAAGAAAAAATAAGAATAAATCATTACCAAAAAGCCTGGAAACAGAAATGTTTGGGATTTTTTGGTCTTTTTGAGACAGGGTCTCCCTGTAGCCCCAGCTGTCCTGGAACTCACTATGTAGACCAGGCTGGCCTGGAACTCACAAAGATCCACCTGCCTCTGCCTCCCAAGTGCTGGGATTACAGGCGTGTGCCACCACGCTTGGCTTCTTTTTGAATTTTGAAATACTTATATATAAAATGAGATATCTTAGGAATGGAACCTAAACACAAAATTTTATTTGTTTCATGTATGCCTTGTATACATAAAGATAATTCAACAGAATAGATTCTGTGTTTGGACTGCTGCTGGCCCCATTAGGTCAGGTGTGGAATTTTCCACTTGTGCATCATGTCAGCACTAGAAAAGTTTCAAAATTTGAAGCATTTTAGATTTGGGATTTTTAGATTAGGGATGCGCAACCAAAAGACCACCACATGAAATATGACTCCAAACAACATTTAAAAAAAAAAACTACTACGTACAAAACCTCAAGTAAGGTGGCAACTGCTGGCAAATTCTCCAAATACAACAGTCTGAAGTGAAAAGTGTAACCGGACAGGGTAGCCGCATACCTGTAATCTCAGCACTCAAGAAACTGAGGCAGGAGGATCACAGTTCAAGGTCAGCCTGGACTCCACAGCAAGACCCTGTCTCTAAAAGTAAATCAACACAATACACTACAATAGTAAAAAGTGTACTCCTGAGCAATTTTCTGCAGGAAACCTCAAGGCAGAGGGATAACTTTGGGATGCAAAAATAATAAACAGTCTTCACTGTGAGCATTTTGAAAAGAGCGTCAAAGTGAGCAGACATCAGAATTTCCATCAAACCTGCACAAAAGTCAAGGTAACAGAAACATTACAACTCTGAAATACTAGAAGATACTGTCAATAAACAAACCAACACATATGGGTTCGTATGTCTTGGGCACCGGACATCCTGATGATCATTTCAAACTCACAAGATAAACATCTGATTTTCCCAAAGCGGGAAGAGAAAGGGAGGAGCTCTTCCCACCCCCTCACTTTCCACCAGATTAATCGATGGTAGATGATAGATGATTGATAGATGATAGATAGATAGATAGATAGATAGATAGATGATAGTTAGAAAAATGATAGAGAGATGATAGAAAGATAGATGATAGATAAATTATAGATAGACAGACAGATAGATAGATGATAGATAGATAGATAGATAGATAGATAGATAGATAGATAGATGATAGATAGATAGATAGATAGATAGATAGATAGATAGATAGATAGATGATAGATGAGAGAGGGGAGATAGATGATAGAGAGATAATCAGGAAATACGTGTAATGTCACTTTCCCAACAGTCAAACATGCTGATCTCTAAGAGACAGGAGAGTGCATGCACCCTGGAAATCGGCAACCACGATCAGGCTGGGAGTTATGAAGCAATAAGAAATCTGTGGAAGCAAGAAAAGAGAAGCAAGAAAGCACGAGGTCCCACCAATCAGACAGCCGAGCAAGAGGACAGTCCCCTACAAACGTCTACGTGGATCTTCTACTTGGATCTGAGTTTCCCAGGACCCCTCCGGGTTCTTCCTCTTCGCTGTCAGTGTAGACGAGGCCAAGAGGCGCTTCTCCAGGGGCTCGGGATACCGAGCGGGAAGTGTCCGGCGGACGGGTACCTGAGAGGGAGGGGCCAGAGGCGAACGGAGCGAGCGCGCCCTTACCTGTCGCAGCAGCTTCCACCGCACGGCCCCCTTGCGCGACGAGACCACCGGCCCCGGGTGGGCGCCGCCAAGAGTCCGACCCTCGCCCTCGACTGCTTCAGCTTCGCCCACCCCGGCAGCCACGACCTGCGACTCCATCACCCGAGCTGCCTGGACACAGAGGTGTCCCCTCTACAGCTCTCCCCAGTCAGGATCCACCAACTTCTTCCCTGTCAGGACCTGTAACACCTGGCCTCTCACCCACAGCCCATGCGCGCGCGCCCTCCCTGAATTCCGCATTTCCGATATCGTGTCTCCTTGGCAACCAGGCCAGCGCAGCTACGTCATTGCACCAGTTTTGCGGGTAGCCATCTTGAGTGAGGGCAGCGTGAGGGAACTGTGCTAGAGCTCAAGGGACGGTGTTCCTCGTGGCTTTCTTCTTCCCCACATCGTATCTAGCTCAGAAGATTGCCAGAGAACCAAAAGACGCGTGTGTTTTGAGACTAAAGAATCCAAGAAGAGAAAAAGCCCATCCGTGACCACAATAAAGATGGCAACATGGGCTTAGCGCTGGGACTGGATTGGTGTTACGTCGAGCGGCGTGCTGCAGACCGGCTCTGGCGGCTCTGGGTAGGTTGTACCTCTGCTGGGTGCAGAACGCAGACTACGGGTGGACGCGGCTGAGGTGACTGCGGCTCCTTCCTGAGAGCTTCGGGGTCTCGGGCCTGCCTTTCCTGCCTTCCCTTGTTTGGATCCAGAGTCGGACTGCCTTTTCATTCTTGTACGTATGGGAGGGTTGCCGAGGCGGGGGTCTCCGTCCTCATTCCTCTTCCCTCCATCCCCCAGCCATCCCTCGGCCCTCTGGTCCTCTCTTCTCTCTGTCTTTTCACTGTGTGGTAAGTGGTTCTCCTCCCTCACTCCCTGAGATCACCACAGCCCTGGGATGGACAGTTGCACAGGGGGACGCATAGGTTCTCGTGAGAACACCCATTTTTTACCCCATCTCTAGCAATGCAAACTGTTTTCTCCCTGCGGATGATGGATGGATGGATGGATGCATGCATGCATGGATGGATGGATGCATGGATGGATGGGTTGGTGGGTGGAGGCTGTGGGGTACATGCAGTGATTTATGGGCATTTTTCTTCTTGTCACCTGCTGCTCCACTGGTCCTTATTTTGCTGCGACATAAGAAATTAAGGGGGGAGGGGACGTCGTAGCTGGTCGCATCCGGGGTAAACCTGACTGACGCAGTATCTCTGTGGTACTAAGGGACGTGTTATAGAACAATTCCCTGATTACACTAACTGTGTATCAGACCTAGATTATGTCCATGCTAATAATAACTACTTTTTGTTGAGTGATTACTACGTGCCAGGTACTTGCTCTAAGGTCTTAACCCAAAATGTCTGATTTTATTCTTAAATAACAACCCCAGGAAGTATATGGCATCTTTATTTTAGTTTTATCGATGAAAAAAATTGAGACCCAGATGTAATTAAGTGCAAGATCCAAAGCCTGAACCCAGGTCTCTGACGCTTTACTTAACCTAGCAATGGAGGTTAAAAAGAACTTACCTCCCACCAGAAGCTAGAGATGTTCTCACATTTGATTTGTGCATCTTGGAGTGTTCTTTTTTTTAATTAAAGAGCAAATTATCCTTAAAAATCTAATAACTTATGACCAACATTTGGAGCCAAATCAATTGGACTTTTTGCCATACCGAATGACTTGGGAAAATTCCCTAAATTTCCTGAACCACAGTTTGATCACCTTGTAAAATGAACATCATTATAGCTACTTTTTCAAGTACATAAGTTAAAATTAGACAAAGCAATGAAATGCATCTGTCACCTAATGAACACTCAACAAATTTTAATCTTCCGCCCCCACTTTTGTTAATATTTATTATAAGTATCATATTAATATTTATTAGTTTTCCAATCTTCCATATACAAATCAACCATATATTTAGAATTAAGACTAAAACAGTTTTGCTTTTTAACACCCACCAAGTACCTAAGATTCCCCATTGAGTCCATTTGCTTATTTGCAAATTTTTATTTTGTTTCTTGTTTTCTGTTTTTTGTTTTAGTTTGTCCATATATGTACCAGAATCACTGCTGCTTAGCTTGAGCCTAGTAAATTGACTTTGCAAATGAGACGTTTACATTACACCTGCCACGAAGTATGATTTGAATGAATTTTGACTTACAAAATTTTTTAGACTTACTTCACCTAAGTTATCAGATATCTGCAGTTATTCATAATCTAAGGTGGTGCATGCCTCAAAGGGTAGGGATAAGAGCTGATGATCCTACAGGCTCTGAGCGTCCACTTACTATATAATCATACATATGAAATCATCACTTGCTGGCAGCCCCAAAGAACATAAACCAGGGACTTTGCTGTCATGCAGCAGAAGACCAAATTATTTCTCCAAGCTTTGAAGTATAGTATTCCTCACCTTGGGAAATTCATGCAGAAACAGAATCACTGTAACTTCGCTGATCATTATTACAATAGAATAAAATTGAAAAAATGTCACCTAACCGAGTGTCTGCAGAATAAACCCAAGATATCAGAGTTAGCAAGAAACATCCCAAGTCGGAGCTTCTCCTATAAGGTATGGACTGTTTAAATTAACCGATTTATAGGTCACTAAGATTAATTTTAGCTTATAAATAATGGATAGGATATCACTTATTTTCTCATTCTAACTTGGTTTTAAGATTTTTTTTCAGGCTCAAGTATGTAGTCAATATGAGTACAAAAGAATGTTCATGTATCTATAGAGCTGTAATGAATTTTTTAAAATGAAGATTCAGAAGAAATTACCTTCCTTAATGTGTCTGCCAGTGCATTTCAAAATACAATAGCTTTATAAAATTATTATGATACCAAATTATACCTCTTAATAATACCTAATAATATGCCAATTCTTATATGAATCCTTGGTTACTAAACTTCAGTAAAAGCCATGTAATTGTGTGTTATTTCTCTATAAAAAGTAATCAAAAGCTGTCTTGCATTTTTGACAACTTGGGTTCCTCAAGAAGATACTATTGTACTTCTCCCAGACCCCAAACTGTGGACTTGAACTCAACGAGTAATCACTTGGTACAGTTTGCCTGGGACAGTCCCAGTGCACACCTGTTGTCCCAGTGTAATTATTAATAGTCCTCTATCCTCTCTAAAGTGTCCTACTTAAAGTGTTATGTTATATGGTCATCATACTTACTTGATTTTAAATTATTTATGCTGTCGTTTCTTTGAAAACTATCTCTACCTTTTAATTATGTTCCTTAAGTTACATTTGAGGGGAGATAGCCTTACAATTTAGCATGTTTTATTATTTTACTTGTTTTATTACCTAGGATTTTTCTTGGAGTCTGTTTTGGCTTCCTCTGATTGTGATTTTTTTTTTTTAAATGTTTTTTTGAATTGCCATTTTTAGATGTAGAACTCAGTGGCATTAATTATATTCACAAAATTATAATACAACCATAACCACTGTTTTCCAAAGCACTGTCACATTACCCCCAAAAGTATACTACTGCATGTACCTTTCCCAGCCCCTGCTAACATCTAATTTTTCTGTATCTGTGAATTCACCCTGTTTGAGCAGAAGCGTATAATACTCATCTTTTTGTATTTGGTTTGTTTAACTTAGCTAATAGTTTTAGGGTTCATCAATGTCATAGTATATATGAGAACTTTATTTTTTATAGGGATAATCTATTTGTATAATCTACATACTGTTGAACATTGTTTATTAAATTATTTTATCTTATTTTACCTAATATTTCTATTTTTAATGACTTTTTGTACTGAGCTCTTATTTATTTGATACATGTGTACCTCTCGTTTTTAGCTTTTCCTGTTTGCCTTCTATTCCTGAACTTTTTACATTTTCGTCTTTTAAATTGTTTTCCTTTTGCATTGTCTTGGCTTACTTTGACTCTGTGCTTCTTAACTTTGTACACTTAGAAACTCTCAAGTTTTCCTTTTCTTTCTTTTTTAATGTAGACTTATCCTACTTTATACTAATAAAGTTTTGAGTTTTACCTATTATACTAAATGTTGGACCTCTGGGTTGTTTTATTTTGCATTATAATTAGAACATTTTGTCATTTTGTACTCAGTTTATAAATAGAAAGCAGGAATTGCCATCAGGGTTGCAGCTGTGAAATTAGCTCATACCCTAAGCCAGGAGGTTGTCTCTGAAGCCACTTGTCCCTGAAGCAACTTTAGTTCTCTGGCATAGATTCCCACCCTAGAAACTGTAAACTGACAGCAGCTTCACAAATAGTAGCTCTCTTAGTAACTTTTTAAATGATTTTTACTTTCATGCATTTTGTATATCAACCATTCCTGCCATGATAAAGGATATTATCAAAAGGCTTGGGTCTTTACAGTCTCTGAGACCTGAGGAAACTACAAAGATATCCTAGACAAGAATGCACATTTCTTTCTTTTGGCAGGCTCCACAGAGTTCCAGATTTGCCCACTCTCCCCCTCCTCACCCCCACACTGGGCCGTATAGATTTTTGCTTTATTTTTGCCAAAATAAATACCATTTTTATGATGAATTAAACAACCCACCATAATAAGGACATTTTATTTGAAAGACCATTAATAATGTGAAATGACAATTCATAGATTTTCTTTGTTTCTTATTCTACCTTAACATTCTCAGGATCATTTTTTTAATTTATTTTTATTGAAGTTTTGTGTATTTTATGCAGAATATCCCAAACAATCTTAATTATCTTTATACTCCTGTCCCTACTGGCACCCTCCCATAACCACCCCCCAGACGGGAACACATATTCTCTGTCATTCATGTTAAGGCCCAGTGTGTCAAGTCTGTGCCCAGTGTGTCAAGTCTGTGCCCACTCTTAAAGGTTACAATAAAAGAGACTTTCATGTGGCTATTTAAACACCTATTATATAATGTTTTTAGCCAAGGAGCAAAAAAAAGTAGCATATGTAGTTGGACTAATGGAAGACCAAAGGATTAGCCATGACTGATATGGTTGATATACTGTTCTGAGCTCCTAATTTTCTTGACTGGGAAAAAGAAACAAAATAAATAAAAAAATAAAAGGTCAGAGACAGGCCAGCCAGGGCTAAATAGTGAGATCTTGCCTCAAAAAAACACAAACAAAAAAAACAAAAAACTTCAAACCTCTCTCTATCTTGTTACCTTAGCAACAAATTAAATTAGCGATAACTTTGAGATTCTTCGGTACCAACTTTTGATGTATGCAGACTAGAGCATACACCAAAAATGCTGGGAGCTTTTTAGAAAATGCAGGTCTAGACCTTAAGTCACATTTTCTGGATCATTGTGTCTACTGCTGAGGCTTCCAGATCAGATTTCCTGCTTGTTTTTGAAGCAAGATCTTCCTATAATGACCAGGTTGGTCGCAAAACTTGTGTTTAAGCAGTCTTCCTGCCTCAGTCTCCCCAATAGCTAGGATTACAAGCATGCGCCACCATACCCAGCCAGAAGTCTTTTTTTTTTTTTTTTAAGTTACTAGAGTAATTCTGAAATTCCTAGCCTGCCGCTGACCATATACCTATATTTAGAAACTGAAGAAGCTTGGTGAAGAGATGTTGCTGATCTAAATCTAATTCATTCAGTTGTAAAGTTTGTTTTGGCAAGTACCTTAGCTTTCCATTTTGCATTAGCCAGATGGTAAGAATTTATTCCATAACACTCATATGTCTGCTGGTGATAATCACAGGATAGCATAAACCAGGTACCACATTTCCTTCTCTTCCATACCTTCTTGCACTATTTTAACTACAAAAACTCTCTTTTAAAATTGTTCACCATGATAGTTGAAGGTACAAAAGATGGCATAAGTAAAGAGAGAATTTAAATCTTTCAATTGAATGCATTATTTGCCTATATCTTCTGATTAGCAGATCCTGTAAAGAGAGAGGGAAAGGGAGGGCGGGAGAAGAGTATGTTTGGTACCCAGCACCTCACTAAATATGGGCAAGCATTTTATCCATCACTCAGCCACACCCCCAACTCTGGCCTCATGTAGGTTAACAAGATACCGGCTTCCCTGAAACTGATTTGTGACTTTTAGAATCACTGATGATAACTAACAATTATCAAAGCATCAGAAAAGAGGAAAAAAGAGAAATTTAAGGGAAACCTCAAGCTAGGAAAACAAAATGTAGTACAATTTTGTGAGAATTCAGAGTGAGACCACATTACAGATACTTCACATATGGTTCTTTTTTCACATTCCATTGTAACCTTGAGTTAGTTCCATTCTTTTCTAAAAATTCCATTAGAGGGGATGAAGAAATGGCTCAATGGTTAAGAGTACTTCCTGCCCTTTCAGAGAACCCAAGTTCAGTTCCTTAGCAGCTCACAACTGCCTGTCACTCCAACTCCAGAGGATCTGATGTCCTCTTCTGACCTCCAGAGGTACCTACACATACAGCAGGCATATACACATACACACACATGTAAATAAAAATCTTTAAAAAATAATTTCTGCATCTGGGCATGGTGACACATGCCTTAAACCTAGCACGCAGGAGGCAGAGGCAAGCAGATCTCTGTGAGATAGAGGCCAGCCTGGTCTACATAGTGAGTTCCAGGCAAGCTGGGGCTACAGAAGACCTTGTCGAAAAAAGAAAAAAAATTCTGTCTGAGTCACTAAAGATGTGGCTTTCAACCCAGTGAGTCCTCTTCTCTTCTAGGCCCTCTTAGCATAAGTAACACACTTGGCCATTCCTTTTACTCTTGTGACTCCCTGTTTTTCTGGTTTAACTTTTTACTAAACTTGACCCAAACTGACACAAATCTATCATAAGCTTTATTTAGTCCACTTAATAGGTGTTTCACTCTAATCACAATATATCTGATTACAAGAGGTGTCCTACAAATTAGGGTAGGCTGCATATTAACTTTCCAAAAATCACAAAATTCTAAAATGCATCTAGATCAGCTTTATGTGCATCCAAATGAACTTTATGCCTCCAAAGGGCTTTTTTTTTTAAGATTTGTTTATTTCTATTTTATGTCTATGAGTATTTGCCTGCATGAATGTATGTACACAATGTACATACCAGATGCCTGTGGAGGCCAGAAGAGGGCACCAGATCTCCTGCAACTGGAGTCACAGAGGGTTGTGAGCCTCAATATGGTTGCTAAGAACCAAACCACAGTCCTCTACAAAAACAGCAAGTGCTCTTACCACTGAGCATCTCACTAGCCCTCAGATGGGCTTACTGAACACACCTGTAATCTTACTGTTACTAGAGCTTAAGGGTGAGAAAGGAAAAGGAATAAAGTTAATTCACTACTAAAATGGAAGTTTCAATAAAATTAAGATATTTGAGTCTAGTTTGGCATGACTTGTATAGGTAGTAGTTGAAGCTATAGAGCCAATTACATTATACTTATTTCTGTGCAATACTTATTAGATCACTTTAAGGGTTTTTGTTGTTGTTTTTCTGTTTCTTCTTTAAATTGGTAAGTCCTTAAATACAAAGAGTTTTATAATACAAAGCTTGCCTGAGACATAGTATAATACCTACTGTGGTGTTGTAAACTATAAGTACTTACAAAGTGAAGTAACAGTTAAATGAAAT